GCAATGAGCCATGCGCACACACACACACACACGCAGACACACACACACACACGACGAGCAACAGCCGGAGTGCCCAAACATAAAAAAAATAAATAAATTTGAAAAAAACCTTAAAACACTGTCAATCAAGTAACAGTGCGATGATAGGCTGACGTAGTACGTTCTGTGTAGTGAGTGCCTTGTATGAATGGCAGCGCTATCGCCGAGGCGTTTTCGACAATTGTCGTGTGAAAGCCCGGGAGCCGCATTGAACCAGCCAAAGAGCCACATGCGGCTCGCGAGCCGCGGGTTGGCCACCCCTGGGCTAGCACAAGAGTCGGCGACCGTCTTGAGACAGGTAGCCACTGGAGTAGACTGCAGACTGTGGGAGACAACGTTTTTGTGCCACGTAAGACTACAATGGCTCAAAGACAATAGTTTGTACGATCCTGCTGAAAATGAAACAGACGACGAGGATGAAGTATCTGACACTGAAGTAAAAAAAATGCCCAAGTATATGCAGAGCTGATACAATTTTTTTATACGACAGAAGTTAATTGCTGGTGATGCAAGAGGCAGCAGATGATGGACGAAAAGCACTGCAAATATTGGGGAACTGTTATGCGGTCGAAACACCGGTGGGACATTGAGCGACGGATCCCTCGTGTCCATGGTCTTAAACAGACTGCCTGAATCTTTTCAACCATTCACCGTCTACGTAACTCAAATTAATACAGCAAATACTTATGCCAACCCCGAGACAAAACTACAAACCTACAAAGACACCAAAAAGATGAGAGGGTCAGCGTCTGAGGACCCACCAAGCCAGAAAAATAAGTGCTGACATGTTGTGATTTAAATGTATGAAAAGGACACAGAGTGTCTAAATGTAAGCGGTGGTGCAGTTTGTTCAAGAGCACCACGGACCCTGGCACAGGTGCAAACAGCGGTCAGGTAATGCACAAAAAGTTTCCGATGACAAGGATTACGCATTCCATTTGTATGTCCAACCTACGTGCAGCATAAATAAATGTCGTCTGATGGCTCCACGCAGCCGACATTTCACACATCATGACAGATCTGAGGAAGTTCAAATCACTCGATGATACTTTTGCAGGCCGAGACACGTGGAATTGGCTGAGGGCACAAGATGCAATGGTGTAGCGGGAGGCAAGGGGGATGTGGAGCTGTGTCTGATGGACAACAACGGACAATGGAACAGAGTAACGCTGAGATCGGCGTACAGATTTCTTCCTTTCCGCAAGATATCTTCTCTCTGCCCGCAACCTTTGTGAGGAAAACCGGATCTTCTCTGTGCAAGCAGCTAGACGCAAAAAAGGGACACAGGGACGAGAAACAATTCCACATTCACAAACGCAACAGGTTGTATTATTTACACACTGAGTGGCGACAATGATGACCAACACAAAAGCTGCTGCGACATGCAGACATGGCATCACTGAAATTCCGATGATATTCAACGGGTGCAAGTTGGTGATGAAGTAAAATGTGACTAAGTGGCATTCGAATGTGATGTGTGCACTTAGGGAAAGTTGATTCAAATGATCAGTAGAGAACTTGATGCGGGAGCCAAATCTGCGCACACAAACACAGCAGGACCAATTGATCCAAAGTCAAGGGCGGAATCACTTTGCATTGTCATTTACCGACGATTATTCCAGTGCGATATTTGTGTATTTCACAAGAGTGACACGGTGCAAGCAACCGAAATTTTTCTGGCAGATACAACTCCAAGTGCATCACATCTGACAATAGTATGTGTAAAATAGAGCGAAGCCGTAACCTCGCTGAAGGCAAGGCAATGGGTCATATGATGGATGACGAGATGAAGTTGCTGAGGACAACACATTTACCCTGACCAACTTATCCCGGGGTAAAAAAGCGTTGCAGGGTAGATGGGTACAGTGAACCCTCACGATATCGCGGTTCACTTTTCACGGCTTTCATTCTTTTGCGGATTTCTTTCTGTGCAGTTTAATCCGTTTTGGGAGGTTTTACAGTGCTTTGTGTTCTTCATCCTGATTGGCTAAGGGACTGGAGACCAATGTCAACATTCTCCGCCCCTCGTCTCTGTATAGGAAGGGTGGCCAACCTTTTTTGACCCAAGATCGAACCTCCCGCGATCAACCCGTTACCGCACGCGCATTCACACACGCATACATACGCACACACGCATGCCATGATTAGCAACAGCCATAACGGCCCCTAACATGAACAAAACAGTAAAACAGATACAAGTGTTTGTGAGTTTGAAAAAAGGAAATCATGGTCTACCTTCGTAGAGACCTGAGGCAGGAGGCATGGGACATTCTTTTGCAACGTCTTAAGTGCAGAAACTATTGTACGTATTTTAAAATGGTGGCACTCCAGATTCTTTGCCAGTGCCATCAGTGAATTGCAGATGAAACAATTTTTTTTAATCTAAATAATTTTTAAAAATTCCCCAAATTACACTCATACCAAGGCACAATTTTAGAGTGTTCCATGAGCCTGGCATGCATGTTTTTGGAATGTGGGAGGAAACCAGAGGACCTGGAGAAAACCCACACAGGCACGGGAAGAACATGCAAACTCCACACAGGAAGGCCAAAGCCGGGATCGAACTCACGACCTCAGCACTGTGAGGTCGACGCGTTAACCACTGGACTACCGGGGCCACGTCCAATTGTATTTCCATTCATCCGCTTATCCTCACAAGGGTCACGGGGCATGCTGGAGCCTATCCCAGCTGTTTTCGGGCAGTAGGCGGTGGACACCCTGAACCGGTTGCCAGTCTTTTGCAGCGCACACAGACACGAGCAACCATCCACGCTCCCTATCGCACCTAGGGACAATTTAGAGTGCCATGCATGTTTATGGAATGTGGGAGGAGACCAGAGTACCCAGAGAAAACCAACGCAGGCACAGGGAGAACATGCGAACTCCACACAGGAAGGCCGGAGCCAGTATCGAAACCTGCACCTCTGCACTGTGAGGCGGATGCGCTAAAGAGTCGACACCAGGCCGCCAACATTTATATTTGTATTTATTGATGCATTTTATTTTACATTTGTCCAAAAAAATAAATAAATTCAAGCTGACTATTTTACAGATTTCTCCTGTCGTGGTTTTTGGAACGTAACACCCGTGATAAATAAGGGTTCACTGTATGGCCTTCGAAGCGATACTGAAGGACGTGACGAACACAAAGCACATTATGTTGAAAAGGGCGTAACTGAAGATGATGATGAGACATTTTCACTCTTCTCATTGAAGACAGAGGGCTGTGAAGTAAAGTCCAGCGCAATAGGATTAATGGCGTGGAAGTCACAATCGTCACTTTACCGAGTGAAACAGTCCAGCAGAAATCGGAACAAAATTCTTCATGAATGTTTGACAAAAACTAATTTGTGCAAAACCCAGCTGCTGGTTGTGTTTCCACAAAAGCGAGCAATGGTGAAAAAATGATTCTGCCTTGAAAATCGCTGCAAGCAATGAAAAACTATTGGACATATAGGAAATGACAGCAAAATTCAAGATGAACGCGAAACACCACCAAGGTGTTGATTTGGAACAAAGTGACAAATGACACAAAATATGTTGAAAAACTACTTGGAAGGTTCAACAGCCTTGAAGACAATCAAGGCACTGGCAAAAAAAACCCGAACAAAAATAGTAAAAAGTCAAAGGTGCAAACATATTGACCTGAAGTATAACTTTATTAGGTCAACGTATTAACGAGGGGAAAATTATTTTGGAGGACTGTGCAATAGCAAAACCGGCAATAAGGGTCAAGTTGAATACATTTGCCAAGTTCAAGTTTGGGAAATAACGTGTTTCTACATTGGCACACTGTCTAAAAGAAAAGAAAAAAAAAAGGTTTTGCAAATTTGTTTTGTGTGGTCGAGATGATATGAGAGCAAGTGGGGGTGTGAAGCTGTCATGTTTCGGTCGAACCGAATAATGTTTTGGATCCCAAAAATTGTAGACTCCAGACAAGGACTCCGTAACAAAAATGTTTAACGTACAAAAATCGCACTGACAAAATAGTAACATAAAGCGGTGGTCAAAACAAGGACCAGGGAGCACAAAAACTAAACGAGAACTAAAAGCGCTTGCGTAAAAAAACAAGGAAGGAAACTACAAACGAAAAACGAAGTATCAAATACACGCACGCAAAAGCCAATTCACAAAAACATACTTACGAAACCAATGGTACCGAGAGATCAATAGCAAAAAACGATGGTCTATTGCAAAGGTCTATGAGCAAGGAAAGCAGCAAAGCAAAACAATATTCCGACAACCAACTGACAGTTTGTGGGTCCTTAAATACAGAGCTCCTAAATTGCAAGATTGGCAGCAAGTGTGCAACCAGCAAGTCCGCTCAGTCTGCCACCTGCTGGCAAGGGCAAGAACAGGAACATGACAGAAGCTATGCGCTCTTCAAATAGTGTATTGCATGTATACTGGATATTACATCAAGGGTACTTTGATTCTTGGTTGCTTAATTAATACATTTTAAGTTCTCTCACTTCTTCCACACTGTCAGACGAGACAGGCTGTGTGTAGTTATTCCTCTGTTAATATAGCTAGATGTTATCTGTTTTTTGATCCCGTTTGCTGATCCGGACGCGATACAACTACCCTGCCAACACCGGCGAAAATGGGGGCGACGGATGGGGTGGGGGTGGGGGTGGGAATATTACAACACCCTCGTCCCCATTATCATCTGAGCCCAGGCTGAGGTTTAGCGCCAACAGATTTGAACTGCGGTCAGGCCAGTCCCAATGCACACAGGCAGACATTGCAGGAAATTCTTCACAATCGATGTGCAGACCTTATTTAATACAAATGCGACCCCCCCCCCCGCTATTTATTATGTATATTGATATGCAGATATTTTGACATTTCAAGAAATAACACCCCCTATAGTCCATCATTTATTTTTTTTTTTATAGAAGAGTGTTCATTTCATCATGAAGAGCAGGAGCACAAGAGCCACGAACACATGAATGACTCACCTGTTATGCAGGCAATAAAACTGGCAGGGAAAATAATTAATAATCCCCCGTATATGTCCATCTTTTATCTTCATTACACGTTCACTAGAAAGATCCCAGACGTTCTTTCCTCCGAGGCTGAATCGTGCCGTAAATCCCATACAATGTATTCCGCATCATATGAAGTGGGTCATCAAAAGCCGTGATAAACCTGACGCATTGTCGGTATTAAATAATCACCAAAGCGAGGAGGAAATTCCAAGCAAAAAAAAAAAAAAAACACGGATCCACTGTTCATGGTTTCCTCAGCACATCCATCCAGCTGCCAATTGAACACGGCCGTGTTGTGTTATGTCACCCTATTCGGTAAACGATGTGAAGGCAGAAAAAAACTTAACGGTGGAAGGATCGGGTTACTTGGAGAAGTCTGAAAACTCGAATGTAATGACAATATTTATCTCTCATAAGTCTTTCCTGTAGCAAATCACCAACGTCAAGTATGGATAGGCGACCTATTCACTTCCTATTCGCGTTGTCAAAATAAAAGCGATGTCGCATACGTTTGAGTGGCACCGACAGACGGACAGCACGACGTCCATCGCAACTAAGTGGGAAAATTACTTTGAATAAATGTGTTTGGGGATGTATCTTAGTAATTTTCTGACGACCTGAGAAGGCGAAGTTGAATAACAGACAGCAACATCGATGTCGCCGTCACCCAACATGCATGACAAAACAGCAGGATGCAGTGAAATGCGATGCACCGGATGCGTGCGCAAGCAGAGATACAACTCGACGAGAACGAGCCTGAGCTCGTTGAGGACGAGTATACAATGGGTGCGTCTCATCACTCTAATTGCACGTTCGACGCAGAAGGAGGTACAAATCGTGATGGGTTGATGATACCTCAACGAGTATATCGACACAAACCGCGTTGACACTGTGGTGGTCACTCAATAATAATCTCTGCTGTAGATCTCAAATCATTGCAGGTCAACAAAATGAAAATAAGATAGTGTAAACCAAACATTAGCTTGTGAAATATTATTTCATCAGTCGCTGGTTTTTCATTTAAAATATGATCTCGATGCCCAAAGGAGGAAAAGATTTACCTTGTTTTTTTTTTGTCAAAAGATTAAAAAAAAAAAAAAAAAAACTTCCAGACTTGTGAAAAATGTCTATTACGTTTCATGAGTGGAAGCAAAGCAAAAATTTAACAGGCACAGGTTCAGAATAGTTTAATCTTCATCTAAAAAACCCATGTTTTGTTCTTGTAAAATGTATTTGGCATTTGGTAAACAAATTTATGATGCACTACCGCCAACAACTGGACAGGAGTGTGGAGCAGGCAGGAAAGTTAAAAAAAAAATGTATATATATATATATCTGTTTTTAACCTGGGTTCGATCGAACCCCAGGGGTTCGGTGAATGGGTCTCAGGGGTTCGACGGAGCCTCTGCCATGGACGTTAAGACAGACCCGACTCAAGTCAATTAGTTATGACACGCCCACTTGGCCATCCCTGGCTGCAGACGATCACATTACATTGCTTGCCTAATCAGTGTTGTGGGAAATTGAGTTCGCTCAGTAGTCGCCGTGTGACTGTTGTGATAGTACGTCATACAATTTAAAAAAAAACCTCTACTTAGATAAGATAAGAAAACCTTTATTAGTCTCGCAATGGAGAAATTCCCAATTCACAGCAGCAAAGTTATGAAAGGAAGAAGTAGAACAACAAAATATAGGAGCTGCTGGAAAGGCACCCACTCTCGCGGCGCCATCTTGAAGTCAAAATAACAAAAATAACACAACACAACACATTGCACAACTGTCTGTGTCCTATCTTCACCACTTTCCTGCATACACTTTGTTGTCTGAAGCAGTTATAGATGAAAGAGGAGAGGATCAAAGTGTCCTTTTACCAGTGGATCAGAGACATCATGCTGAAAATGTGCATGTCTGCTACAAGCTAAGTTTTGAAAGCAAACACGAAGCTGTAGCATCCATTGACAAAAAGAGATTAGTTCACTTCTCCTGTCCCACGTAATCCGCTTCAACTCCAAGCCGCGACTCCTGGTTCCACATCCTCATCGGCGCTCTGCGCTAACGCTCCTTTCTTCTCATTGTCGGCTCCTCAAGCCTTGCATCCATCCAGCCGCAGACCGTTCAACAGCACCGATCTCTCCGCTGAACAAAGCGGGGCTGTGAAAATGCTGCCCATTACAGGCGCAAGACACAAGCTTGCTTTTTATACAGTTGTTTTTTGTACAATGCACAACTGTCATTTATTGTGTAATAATCTAATTGGAACATGTATTTGTTACATATTTTGATGCCTTTTTATGATTAATAAAACATTTATGTCTGAATATGGGGTGGGGCTTGGAACGGATTGGGGCATTTACATGGAAAACGCATCTTTATTTTCAAAATTTTCTCGTTCAGAAATTTCTTTAGGGAACCAATTAATTTCGTAAGTACAGTACCACTGTAGCTGATGACCGTGAACGGTAACTCATAACACGTTACTCCAAATTGTGCACGTTTTTGAGTAACATCTAATCCAGGGGTGTCAAACATACAGCCCGCGGGCCGGAACCGGCCCCCAAGGAGGTTCGATCAGGCCCGCAGGATAATTTAAAAGTGAAAAAAATGCATAAAAGACATGGAATGAATATTTTTAATAAGATACAATCCATGGAGTATCCGCTAGGGGACACACTGTTTTGATCAGAGTAGAAGACAACAGCAGCCTCAGTCTGTCACTGAGACAGACCCAACACAGCAGACACTATCAAGGACATGTGAATACAGTATTTGATTCTCTACACATTTAATAGCACTCTCCTTAGTTTGTAAGGTGTAGGCGGAGATTAAATTTAGATTTTATATGCTCGTGTGTAAATGGTTTAAAAATTCCTTTCTTTATAAATCTCGTTTAATCTAAAAGCGCATTACGATATTTTTCAATACCAACACTTGTTTAAGTTTTGTGCCTTTGTACAATCAGTGGGACCAGTTGGAATGCATATGTGTGAATGATAAAAGTAAATTGCACATTTGTCTAAGGAAATCTAAGGTGCTTCATGAAATGTTTTGTAAAATATATGTTCATTAAATTTCAACATTTTCCTAACGTTTTGTCCTTCTTTAGACCAAAATAAAGGAAAGACATGTTATCTTGGTTATTTATAGCAGAGTATGGTATAATTTTAACGGTCCGGCCCACTTGACATCTACCGAGGCCGTATCTGGCCCACAATGTGAAATGAGTTTGACACCCCTGGACTAATCGAACACGTTAGTTTAGCCAGTCAAGTAATCAGTCAGACTCTAGTTACTCCACAAATATCACAAAACATTCCTTTGTGGAATTTATTTTCGACGTGCAGACTGTCAATTCATCAAAGAAAAAGAGTTTGCCGTTGACAACTTGTAACTGTGTCCTTATCACCCCCCCCCCCCCACCCTCTTTAGTCCATGTTCTCTCTCAGAAGTGGTTTTTGCAGAGCAGCACGAAGTATGTTGCATTCAGGAAACTCGGAGCTGCGAGTAGGGGCCCATATTGTATTTTTACCCTTCGTATCTTGAAATTTCTGTAATTAATAACAAGAGGCAATATTTTCCTGTTGAGGCGTTTCGTAACTTGAAAATTTCGTATGAAGAGACGTTCGTAAGTAGAGGTACCGCTGTACTGTTGATTCCTTTGGCCAACCTGCTCAATGTCTATTGATCAGCAGTATTGGCTTTGTCTGAAAGTTGTGCAACAGCTCAGATCAATTTTCCCTCCTCTCCTAGCTTCAAAATGGTTTGATTGTCTCCCATAGACAGCTCTCTGGTCTTTTTAGTCTCTCTTGTGTTGGCTTAACAGCAAAAGCAGATTTTACAGGTGAAAACCCAAAGCCAAAAATTAGGACTACTTAATGTTGAAGCAACTGATCTAAAAGGCAACTCGAAGCACCCGTCGGTCAAATGCTGCAATACTTTCGTTCACATAAAGAGGGTCGGTTCAGACAAAAGGTGCTCTGTCCTGAGTGTTTTTTTTTTTAAATGAACATATTTGAACGTCAAAACCATGAAATCAAAGCTGGACGTGTGAACTTTTGTCTCAGATTCATCTTTTTAGTCTGAAACTCAAATTTCCATTCCAATGCTTTTGGAGGGGACGATATGTATATGTACCGTATGTACAGGTATCATTAAATTATTTTATTAACCGAGGGTTCCAAAAATTTTTTCTGTCTGGAACTGCATTTGTGAGAGTGTCGAATGTGATAGTGTTTGAGTCATTCAAATTGTTTTTTTTTTTTTTTTTTTTTAATGCCAACAGCAGCACAGCAAAAATTGTTGGAAAACATTCACCGTCTTAATATCATGCGAACATTTAAAACACGCACACATGGAATTCATTGTCATTCGGCATTTTAATCCATGTAAAAGGCAAATCTTCCTCAAGAAAAAAAAAAAAACACAACATAAACATCCATGCGAAAAAACAGTTTGCAATACCCGAAAACATCAATTGCAACCGAGGATGACCCTTCCACACGTTTTATTTACACAACCTCACAAGGCTTAAATCACAACACAAATTCAGAAGAAAAAAAAGAAATAACCACTATCAAAAAGACATACAAACTTTAAACTCCGATTTAATTATGTACCTCATGTTGTATATGCACATTATAATTTGAACATTTGTATCCAAAATATAGTTTTTACACCACACACTTTTCAACTTACATTTATGTATTTATTTTTTATTTATTTTTTTAATAGGAATGATCCCATCAACTCAATATTTTATCATATATATCTATATCTATATATATATCTATATATATATATATATCTATATATATATATAGATATATATATAGATATATATATAGATATATATGTGTAGCACCACAATGTTTCAATGTAACTCAAGGAGGAACAACTTTAAAGAAAAAGACCCGTGTTAGTATCCAGGAAAAAGAACAAAAGGATGATAAAATCTTTTGTACATACAGTAACACGCAGTACCGATTCAGAAGCAGGAAAAGACATGCATGACTAGTTCAATATCATTCAGACCAGGAAAAGAGCCTTATACGAACGTCATGATTCATTTGAACAATTTGCCCTTTTCTTGATGGAAACGGACATTCACATCATCCAGATTGCAAAGTAAGAGGTAAAACCAACAAAACAAAACTCATTTAAATAGCTCAGCACATCAGCAATTTGTACTAGTTCCATATGCATTGCTGTAGACCAGTGGTCCCCAAACACCGGTCCGCATAGATGTCAATCTCCAAATGCTTTGATTATCTTCCAAGGGGAATATATACGTAGGAATGGGCTTCTAAGATCACGTGTGTGACGGCAACCAATAAGAGTAGACCATTTCCTGCTCTACTTTCGTTTGCGAGGCGACGAAGCAAAACGAAAGTAGTACGTTAACGATGACTAACTGTTGCGAAACATGCAGGTGATGGGCAGCCATGACTTGGCATTATCTTCCAAAGATTAAGCTCGTTTGACAAGCGACGTTCCTCACTACCGGTAAATGAAGCCCTTGTCAGGTATGTCTTCTAAAACGGGCAACACGACATTCCTTTTGAACCATTTAAATAAGTACCGTATTTTGTGCACTATACGGCGCTTCGGAGTGTGAGGTGCACCTTCAATGAATCGCCTATTTTCAAATTGTTTTGATGTATAGGGCGCACCGCATTA